GCTAAAATAACACCAGAAGCTTTTAAGCGTACGCTTGTGTAAATGTGCAGGCCATAGAATCCGAAGGTCGGCTTCCATAGAATCGGGCAATAACCAGGACTAATCACAGGCATCACTAACTTAAACCATACACGCTCTATAAACCAAAGCAGGGGCATCCAGGACGGATTATGCACTCACTGCAACACACAGGAAGACATAAACCACATATTCACACACTGCCAGCTGCAACAAACAAACATTAAGCAATTACACAACAACATTCCCACAAATACCACAATAACGCATCCACCTCCTTCTCAACCCCAATAACCCTACCAATATACCCCATAGCCACCTTTCTTGAAAACTCTAACTTACAAAAAAATTGAACCTCCCAAACAAACCCTCTCATTATCTGCTCACTCTATCTTATATATTCAGATCAGGCGTCAAGAATTTAAATAATCATACTATCACTCTATCACCAGCTACATTTTCTACATTTTAGGCCTACGGATCATTTCAGTCATCAACAGTGCTCTAAATCCGCCAAGCGAGGTCCACTTGTCCCTAGCCAATCACAGTCCACTCTAAAACATAAACAAACCAGCCTAAACCCTCTAGCGTGGGTCAATGGCATCCACCCAAGCCGAGCTTACCTCGCACAGCCTTACAGCCGTGCTGGCCACCACAGCTTCTTCACCCCACCCCCACCCCAACTCTAACTCAACTTTAACCATTTTTCGGGTTCTTTATTAAATCCCCTTATATCAATTATGCGGCTTACCTGCAGTCTTATACATGCCCCACTATGCTATGCTTCTTCATCTCATCCCCGCCCCCCCTCCCACACTACCCCACCCAACTTGCCACCATGAAATCCAACATTTCACTACCACTACTCAGCTATAACTCTATCTCTCTTACCACTAATAAATTCAAATTATATTGCTTTTTCTTTTCTCTCATTTCCCTCCTTAACATCGGCTTTTTATTTATTCTTTTCTCATGTTTTTAAAGTTTTCACTTCCAAATTCCCATTCTAGGTTAATGCCCAATCCATTTAATATTTTTGGGGTAAATTGGTTTACTCCTTATTTTGAAACCTATTTTATTATTATCTTACCTACCACTTACCCCGTCAATGACATTGGCTTCAGCTAAAGCCGATTCAACTCAAATCATCATCTTCCTGAGTCAGGCATCTCAAACTATGGGTATGTAAGTAGGTAATAATTCCAGGCATTGGAGAACAAGATTCTGCTTGTTTGGAATTTAATGCTTTTCATAAACTAGAATCTCATAAACCATTTATTATACGGAATCATCTGTGATATGGAACTTGTGTAGTGGTTCTCTTAGAAATATTTAGCGTTATCTAAAAATTAAACCATTTAGTCACCTTTTTGTATATATGACCAAATTAATTAGTTACACTATGAGAGTTTTAAGAAGGATTCATTTGGGTTCTTTTTGCCCGAGTCCGCCTGTGTGTGGACAATATAACCAATTATCATTATTAAGTTCATGATATTTCATTGAATACACCAACTGCATAACAATCAGTCTCTTGGACTACAAAGCCAAACGGGTTGCTCTCTATTCGCTCCACAGTCTTAAAACAACATTTCATGGTCTTGTTGACTGTTGATTTATAAATGATAAAACCACCTAAACGGTCCATCCCTTGTGTCAGGTGTTAATTAGAGGGTACCATTCAAGAATATATTCTTAATGGCTATTCCTGGCAAGGTTCACTTTTATGACATGTAATAAACCTGACTCTGAGGGTGTGGGTGGGACTCAACCCAAAAAGTACTAGAACATGCAGGGGCGGATTCAGCTTGTTGAGAAAGGGGGGCTGCACACTATTGAGAAAAGGAGGGGTGCACACTCATTTTTCACCTGAGTTTCAATGGTCATTTAACAAACTTTCAGCACAAAAGGGGGGGTGCGCACCCCTGCACCCCCCTCTGGATCCGCCTATGACATGCTTATCAGAAGAGGCGACTTGGGTGGTTAGGCTGGGTTAGAATGGTTCTTCAGGAGTTTGGACTGGTAAGAGCTGATAATGCTTGTATGTGACAAACAAGATCAGGTGTTTAGGTTGGGTTAAAACTGGTCTTTATCAAAACATACTTATCATTTGGCAACTATGCTTGTTGGTGACTAGTGAGTGAGTGAGTGAGTTTAGTTTTACGCTGCACTCAGCAATATTCCAGCTATATTGCGGCGGTCTGTAAATAATCAAGTCTGAACCAGACAATCCAGTGATCAACAGCATGAGCATCAATCTGCACTATTGGGAACCGATGACATGTGTCAACCAAGTCAGCGAGCCTGGCCACCCGATCCCATTAGTCGCCTCTTACGACAAGCATGGGTTACTGAAGGTTCATTCTAACTCGGACCTTCACAGGTTTGTTGGTGTCTAACCAGATTGTGTGGTTAGAACTAATCTTCACCAAAACATGCTTGTCATAAGAAGTGAGTACGCTTGTAGGTGACAGACAACATCGAGTATTTAGGTTGGGGTAGAACTAGTCTTCTGCAGAGTATATTAGTCATAAGAGGCCATTACGACTGCAGAGGTGGATGGATAGGCTCACTGACTTGATTGATGCAGTCCAGATCCATCCCTCATGACATCAACCACTACATTGTCTGTCTCAGACCAGATTATTTACATACATGCACCGCCTCCGTGGTGTAGTGGTTAGAGCGTCTGCCCGGAGAGCGGAAGGTCGCGGGTTCGATCCCCGACCGCGTCATACCAAAAGACGTTAAAATATGGTACTTGCTGGTCCCTGCCTGGCGCTCGGCATTAATGGGTACAACAAGGACTGGTTGGATTGGAGTCAGTATAATGTGTCTGAGTGGGTATTCATGCTTCACTGCGGCATGGTATCTCAGTGGGCTGGCACTATAAAACCAGCTTCAGTCTGGGCTAGTACAAGCAGCCCCAATTACACATACACACGCATGCACGTCGTCATATGAGCGAAATATTCTCAAGCACAACGTTAAACACAATTTCACCTCACCTCACATACATGTAGTTTGAGTATTGTCATTAAAAAAATTATTGATAAACAAACAGAACTGGTGAGTATCAATGAAAGATTTGATGGAGCTCTCAGATAGTCTGGTGGATGTTTGTCACACTGAAGTCGGTATCCAGTTTCAGTGAATGTGTGAAGTCCTTTCTTATTCTTGTTGGTTTATTTAATGCATAACCAAACAAAATTCCAGTTATATGCCATCAGTGAGTAAACAACTAAGCCTGGACCAGACAAACCAGTAACTGACCCTGGCTCGTTGACTTGGTTGTCACGTCATTTTATCCCAATTGCGTACTTCGATGCTCATGCTGTTGAGCACTGGATTGTCTGGTCCAGATTTGATTATTAACAGACTGCCACAATATAGCCGTAATATTGCTGAGTGTGTTAAGCAAGAAACAAACAAAAACAAAACCTACTTCTCATAGAGTGAGATGGAAATATCAGTGATCTTCACGCCACTATTCCACATATCTGCTAGATCTAGTTAAAAAATATTAAATGTACTTGATGAGAGTTTTAATACCATTATTAGAAGAAATTGTATTTGAAACCATTCTTATATCGGGAATAATATATTCTGTTATTTATGTTGAAGCTTTTGCTGTATAAATTTAAGAAATCACTGATCATAAATATAGCACTTCAGTTATAACCAGATATTCCTGGTGAATGGAAGTTTAGCAAGATCATATAGGGCTTGTATAGAAAATTTGATCCAAAAACAATTTGAAGACATTTTACAGCAAATATTAACTAGTGAGTCTCAGTATGATATATGTAGCCATTTCCTGACAAATGTGTTTGTTTCGAGATGTCAATAGCAGTAATCTGATCATGCTGGTTGTAAGCACTGATTCGCCAATTATTTTCACTCGTAATTGGATGGAAATTAACGTATACAATATTCAGTGAAATTTTAAATGAAATTGATTGCAAACTGAAGTCTTCATATAGGATGAACATTGATCACTTGTGGGCTGTCCATCCCCACGAATGCTGTGGCATTGACTCTCAGGGTTCTTGGTTAGAATTGGTCACCAGGGCCCCGTTTCACAAAGCTGTCGTAGCGCTACGACTATCGTAAGTGTATGTCACAGTGTAGGAGATACGATTGCTACGAGAAAAGTTACAAGATCTTAGGCATATGAGAGATTTTGAAACGGGACCCAGTAGGTTATGCTTGTTGTAAAACACCAAATGCATAGACAGACAGATATATGGCTGTATCAATCACTGGATTGTCTGATCTAGACGTCATTAGTTTCAGAATGCAGCCATTAGCTGGAACAGTGCAGTGATAAACCACAAATGTAGGAGTGATATTGCGGAAGTGTCATTAGCGAGTTAAAATTTAACATCGGATCAGTATTATGTCAGCCATAGAGTGACGATATTGTAGGCGTTGTACATTGTAAAACAGAGCTTATCTTCTGTCTCAACTGTGGAATAAGATAAAAGAATTGTTTGATATTCAGGTTTTACCATCTTTAGATGTCTTTCTCCGTTTAGATAATTAGGTTTTACCAATATTATGTCTTTTTCCCTGTTTTGATAATTAGGTTTTACCAATATTATATGTCTTTTCTCCGGGCGGTGAGGTAGCCTAGTGGTTAATGTGTTCGCTCATCATGCTGAAGACCCAGGTTCGATTCCCCACATGGGCACAATTTGTGAAGCCCATTGCTGGAATATTGCTAAATGCGGCGTAAAACTAAACTCACTCATTATAACACCATGCCATTTAGAAAGTGGTCAGATGTGGAGGTTGTGGTGGCTGAGCGGGTTAGACATCTGACTTCGTGTGCTGGCGATTAGGTGCCTGACTCTGAGAGTGTGGGTTCGAATCCTGGATGGGACTCAACCCAAAAAGTACTAGCAAGAGTACTTTACAAAGAAAGTGTAATCCCAAATATAACATAAGTTAAACTCACTCATTCTTTTTCTCCTTTGCAGGCGTACATGTTCGGGTATCTGAACAGTGCTTGTAATCCCATCATCTACGCTTTCCGCAGCCCGTCTTTCCGAGAAGGATACAAGGAGATACTGTGCCAAAATCCACAATACGTCATCACTGATGGTAAGAGCTTTTCCAGTTAGATTTTAGTAAATCACATCTGATAGTTGAATTAACAAAATTGTTTATTCATTGTTGAAGATGTATTATTTAGCTAGTAATGATGTGTTCACATGCTCTAAATCATTACACACTACTCATGTTTCTAAATTTATTTGTTTGGTCTGATGAATGTAAAAGTATGTTTCTTATTGATTTTAAAGTTTTTGAGATGATCCCTGACAAAAAATAATCAATTTATTGTTTTGTTTCACAATATTTGGTGAGTTGATGGAAAGATTAGTCACCTGTGAAATATACATGTTGAATTGATTTCCCAGATATGAGGTTTCTTCATCGGGACGTGGTATCAAATTTATTGATCGGAACAGAAGAAAGGTTAATTAATTGCATCAAAATGGGGAAATATTGAGTGTTTTTTGGTGGTTAATTATCAAAAATCTACTATGTCTTTAACCTTTCATCCTTGTGTATATTGTAAAGTCATTAGTTTTGCAAGTTGGTTTTACAGTGTGTTAGGGGCATGGGTGGGGAATTTGGTTGGAAGATTTGGAATTTAAAGTTCGGATTTTATTCCTGATGGTGGGACCACCTCCGCGTTGTAGTTGTTAGAGCGTCCGACCGTAGAGCGGAAGGTCGCGGGTTCGATCCCCAGCCGTGTCATACCAAAAGATATGGTACTTGTTGGTCCCCGCCACGTGCTCGGCATTAATGGGTGCAACAAGGACTGGTTGGCTCGGAGTCAGTATAATGTGTCTGAGTGGGGTATTCATGCTTAACTGCGGCATGGTATGTCAGTGAGCTAGCATTATAAAACCAGCTTAAGTCTGGGCTAATACAAGCAGCCTCACATACACATGCATGCACGAAATGCATATGAGCGAAATATTCTCAAGTACAACGTTAAACCCCACACCTCACCTCACCTCACCTCACCTCACACTTCACCTCACCTCACCTCACTTCACCTCACTTCACCTCACCAGAATATATTTCTAAGTTTGTCAGCATCATAACCATGCTCATAGGTTTCACCAAAGTAGTAGGTAGCCAAGTGGTTAAAGTGTTCGCTCATAACGCTGAAGACCCGGGTTTGCTTCCCCACATGGGTATAATGTGTGAAGCTCATTTCTGGTGTCACTCACTGTGATATTGCTGGAATATTGCAAGAAGCCAGGTAACACTAAACTGACTGACTCACTCATAATACCATAGTTTGGTTTTTAGTGTGACTCAATAAGAACATAAACTTTGTCCACATGTAGAATTCCCTACTTGTAAGTGCCGGAAGAGGGCTTCATTAAGTTGGAAAACTTATGCCTAATCCTGTTCTTCAATGAATCAAATATGTTTAAATCAGTACCATTAAAGCAGGTATATAATCTGTGTCCAGGTTGACATCTTTCCCTGATGCATTAGTTGGTGCTCATGCTGTCAATCACTAGTTGTCCTGGCCCTGATTCTGTTACTGATTGGCTATATCATATAACTGGGTATAGTACTGGGTATGGCATAAAACAACATTTACTCTCGTAATTCCCACTGAATGTTGTAACACTTAGAATTAACTTTGAAACTTGAATGTTAGAAATAGTGCCATGAAAGGGATGAAAGGTTAAGACTGTCATTTAATCAATTTTTTAATGTTTTTTTAATTATATTTTTATTGGACTGGGAGAGTTAATGTTTTGAGGATGAGATTCCTAATTGTTTTTCTCCAACATTTAGTATATGTGATAAACCAGAGGCACGGGTCAAAATAAAGACTTGGTATGTATCCTTGTCATGCATAAAGAACACAAGCATATCTGTAGAAACTATTGGACAGACAACTAATATGAGACTTATTTGCAGCCTGGAACCTTTAGATGTAGTTTAGTTTGGTAGAAATTAGTGAGTCTTATGAATCGTGTCTTTGGATAATATTCTGCAGTGCAAAAATATCTTAAACATTTTGTGAAAAAGAAAAGAAAATTGTTGTCAATTCCAAATAAAAATGGGAACATCTCTACTTTTGGACAGAATATTGGTGTAGTTGATTAACTTTGCGATAAAACCGGGGAACAGTCGTCTACTTGTGGATAGAATATTGGTTTAGTTGATCTTAACTTAGCGATAAAATTGGAGAACAGCCTCCATGTGAACAGAATATTGAAATTATTTATCTTAATGTTGGAACACCTCAGGAAATGTGTATCTTTACTTAGTAATTGAACTTGGGAACATTTTAAATACTAACATAAGGAACGGTCATTGATCCAACATTAGTGGGAAAGAAGGGTGCAATCAATTTCAACAGGAACATTTCAGTCAATTTTGCCTAAAACTGGAGAACAGTCATCTGCTTATGTTAACTTATGGATAAAATTTGGAGAACATTTCATATAATATAAAGACTCATGCATAAAACTGGGGACATTTCATGTACACTTTGTGTTAAACCAGAGAACAGTTATCTTGTTAAAGACTTGTGGATAAAAGTGGGCAACATTCATATAAACTGTGTGTTAAACAGGGGAAGAGTTATCTAGTTAAAGACTTGAAGATAAAACCGGGGAACATTCATGAAAGCTTTGTGTTAAACAGGGGAACAGTTATCTAGTTAAAGACTTGAAGATAAAACCAGGGAACATTCATGTAACTTTGTGTTAAACAGGGGAACAGTTATCTAGTTAAAGACTTGAAGATAAAACCGGGGAACATTCATGAAAGCTTTGTGTTAAACAGGGGAACAGTTATCTAGTTAAAGACTTGAAGATAAAACCAGGGAACATTCATGTAACTTTGTGTTAAACAGGGGAACAGTTATCTAGTTAAAGACTTGAAGATAAAACCGGGGAACATTCATGTAACTTTGTGTTAAACAGGGGAACAGTTATCTAGTTAAGGACTTGTGGAGCAAACAGGAGAACATTCATGTAAACTTTGTGTTAAACAGGGGAACAGTTGTCTAGTTAAAGACTTGAAGATAAAACCAGGGAACATCCATGTAACTTTGTGTTAAACAGGGGAACAGTTATCTAGTTAAAGACTTGAAGATAAAACCGGGGAACATTCATGAAAGCTTTGTGTTAAACAGGGGAACAGTTATCTAGTTAAAGACTTGAAGATAAAACCGGGGAACATTCATGAAAGCTTTGTGTTAAACAGGGGAACAGTTATCTAGTTAAGGACTTGAAGATAAAACCGGGGGAACATTCATGTAACTTTGTGTTAAACAGGGGAACAGTTATCTAGTTACATACTTGTGGATAAAACCAGGCAACATTCATGTAAACTTTGTAATAATCTGGGGAACAGTTATCTAGTTATAGACATGCGGGGAGAAATTGGGACCATTGATCTCCTTAGACTGAGTGAGGAACACTAAAATTGTTGTACTCATGTTGAAGTTGTAACTGCACGTAGTACTAGTATTGTTTTGTGCAATGAATGCAGTTCTTCTGTTAACTGAAGCACAAACACTCAACACATCAGTTGATATTCTTGGTACATGTTTATTCGGATTAATGTTCCTTCATTTACTGCATGATAAACATGTCAAATATGTGTTTAATATCTTAGCAGCCAACATTCGTTCTTTTTACACCTGTGAACATTTTTTAACTTTTTCTTTTTTTCACATTGTAATTTTGTTAATTTATTTTTAAGGTGATGGATATTTTTTTCAATTTGTTGTGCTACACACGATTTACTATATTAATATGTGCATGTGTTTATGACATGGCTGAGATCCAGACAAGCAAGACAGGATACAGATAAATGACGATGGTTTCTTTAACGAAATCTAAGTCCACAAAAAATGATCCTTTGAGAACTTGAGTATGTACAATCAAACCCTGTTATCTCAATTTAATTGAAGATTATTGGAACTTCTAGATATCCATTTGAGTTAGCATGGATTGAACTTCCAGTCAGGTCACGTAACAGTATTAAAGAGCAATAGCAATACAGTTGCAATAAATGTGCAATGAAAACTAGAAATGTGTTTTTCTGGCATTGATTGGTAAGTATTGAGACAAATTATGGATAGTGTACATTTACCTCTATTAGGCATAGCAGCTATCACTGAATAATGTCTTTCACTAATTAATCTCCACTTGACAGAAACAAGAAAGTGTCTGTCATATGGATATTGTGAGAAGTGTCACATTCCTTTTATCCGACTTTGAATAGCACTTTTTGATGTAACCAGGAAGTGCTGCCATGGTTTTAGTCATGTCTGGGATTTTTTTGTCAATAAAGCTTAGCAGTACAGTAGGATTAAAACATAAGTATATAATTGGTTTAACAATCAGTTTAAATTGCACTGAACTTCTACAGCAATGTTAGATTTGTGAGATAAGGTACTAGATATATTTGAGCTTTTCAAAACTGTTCATGCAAGTATCAAGATAAATACTTGTGTTGGGAATCGGTTAAAATCTCATAATTGATGATCGGTTCATTACTACCGATCAATCATCGAAAATAATTGGTTAGCATCATTTATGAAATTTGTTAATGCACACAAAAATAAGGTAAAATGGGGTTTTGTGGCAAAATTTCACATCTTTAAAGGATGACTAGTATGTTAGGAACATAAATTTCTTGGAATCTTTAAGATAAATTCAATCGTGACTTGAAACGAGCTTGTAGTGCTTACGAAATGTAACAGACAAAACCAACCATGTGAAAAATATTGTTAATGAAAACAAGTGTTCCAGAATTGGTTGTGTTCGATTATGAGAAATTGTGATCGATTGCTTGGTCATTTAGTCACTACGACCAATCTTCGATTATTTCAATTAATCGGAACACCACTAATAAATACACAAAGTTGTGTAGTTAAGTTAAACCTAGTAACCACTCCAGGGATAGAGATATGACTTAGTATTTTATCTTGAATACAGATAAGAGAACACGTTCATGACTATATATTTAGTGAAGTGGTAGGAACTGCAGAATAGGTTCAAGATGTCAGTACATTTGAGATAACAAGGTTTCACTGTATAAACTTATGA